CATCTTCATTACATTACAACACTTCTGACATGGCAACACCATGTAAGAGAAACTTGGTCTTTTGAATTCAGCATTCCTAAATTTGAATTCTGATTCACCTTGATTCTCATCTCATGCTTCAGTAGGGTCACTTAACCTTTCTACTAAGCTGCTGTGGCAGGAAATTAAGGTTGGTAACAGTTAATGATACTGTGACAATCAATCAATACGTTTGTAAACTTGTTAGTAAACAACAAGCACCAAGTGCCAAGTCTAGTTTGAACACATGTTGTTTATAATCTTCCCATTTTCTTTGCAAGAACTTTAATATGACACAAAAATTAACCTTCTGATCTTGGGGAAAAAAAAAATAAATCTTTACTTGTATTATAGACTACCGTTGGCAGCAGACCTCTAACTTGAAATATGATGTCCTAACTGGCATCACTAAATTTCCCATGGATTAGCTGACAGTGATACCTCAGGACTCACGGGAAAACTGTATTGCAGAGAGAAATGACAGTGAGGGCGAAAACCAAATCTTTTTCTGGACTGTAATTCTTAGTCTTCTTTCATTCAGAGCTGGAATTGAATACCAGTAGGCTTTTAAGATGAAAGATGTATTGTTTTACATAGGGTATTTAATGGGTATTTTGAAATAGCTGATGATATCCACTAACATAAGCAGGAGCCTTCATGTTTTACAGAGGTGATGGGGGATTGATATTTTTTAGTATCTGCTGATCAGTGAACATACACATACCTTGAAAAGCTTGACTGTTAGCCCCCTACTTGTTCTTATACAGTGTCAACTGGTTTTATAGGATAGGCCCAAAGCAGGCTTTTGGGAAATGGTGATGAACATGAATCACCTTCATATTCAAGCTGTTTATAATTCATTACAATCTCAAACCAGCAAACTTCTTCAGGACTTCAGAAGTCTTCACACAGGCTTTGTTTCACTATTACAACTAAGTATCTCAAAGCCAAGAAGACATCTGAACTGCATTCCCAGGAGGACTGTGCAGCGAGCCAGTGAAATACCTGCAACCCCTTGAGGAGCCAGCCAACTGCTTCTAGTTCCCTCTCACCAGCACCCACAGTCCTGCTCACCAGCAAGCTAATCAATGCCCCAAAAACATCATTAGATGTTTTCCTGCATAGCCCATCACGATCACAGATGGTGTTGTGCTGTTCCTCTGGGGTACTATAGGCATGCTGCCTCTTATTGTCATATCTAACCACTCACAATATCAAGTCAGTGTTACTTCATTAATATAGCTGCAGCAGAGCAATGTTGAGACTTTCTAGCCATTGTTTGATGAGCAGCAACATCAAGGCTTAAGGAAATGCTCACAGATACAGAAAACATGAAGGATGGGGAAGAATCTGCAAAAACAAGGTGTCAGACAGCTCATGAATGAAAGGCTGCTGTAAGTCACAGCATCTCTTCTACCCACTCTTTTAATAAAGGGGGCCTAGTTATTGCCACCTTGTCACCTTTACTAGGTTTCTCATACCAATGGCTGGCTTGTAAAAGCAACACCGTATTGGCAATTGAGAGACAGGGACATCCAATTCAAGATCAGAAGCCGATTTTATTTGGTATACAAAGCATTTATACAGGGTTTTACTTGTATGGCACTTACAGAGAGTTCTATTTTTGGTAACATTGTTTACACATTCTTCATAACATCACTTCATCTGGTAACGTTATCTTATCACAAAATTTCACATCATGTTTTCTTGGCCACTTATTGCCCAGGGAGCACTTATCTGTGTCTGTCTCTCCCATGGTTTCTGCTCGATTAGGCCTAAGATATTAGGCTCCTTTATCAGTTCTATTGTACTCTGTTTTATTCCCCATTACACTGAATGCACCATTAGGTAAAAAGATCCAAGCTTACTACAGAAACACTTCTTTACCAAAACCACTGCAAATCACAGAGTCATAGAATGTTTTGGGTTCAAAGTGACCTTATAAATCATCTGGTTCCAACTGCCCCTTGCCATAATCAGGGACACCTTCTTCTAGGTCAGACTGATCCAAGCTTGCTTGAACACTTCCAGGGATGGGGCCTCCACAGCTTCTCTGGGAAATCTGTTCCAGTGCCTCAGCATGCTTGCTGTAAAGATATCTTCCTAATATTCCATCCACACCTGCCTTTCAGTTTAAAGCCATCATGGTTGTTCTATCACTCCATGCCCTTGTTAAAAAGTCCCTCTCCAGCTTTCTTGTAGGCCTCCTTCAGGTACCAGAAGGCTGTAATAAGGTCCCCCCAGAGCCTTCTCCAGGCTGAACCACCCCTTCTCAGCCTGTCTACACAGCAGAGGTGTTCCATCTCTCAGATCATGTTCATCTGATGACCTCCTCTGAGCAGGTCCACATCCTTCTTATGTTGGGGGGGCCCAGAGCTGCACGCAAGTATTCCACGTGGGGTCACTTCTATCCATAATACACATATTTTCATAACATACCTTTTATAAGAGAAAACACAGGGCAAGTTGGCTATTATTTTTTAATTCAGATAAAGAGCCACTGAAGTAGCAGCGACTTCACTACACCAACCACGGGGCAGAGCTGTCTGCCCTCACCGGGCATGCCCCGCACCCCGCTCCCGCCGCCGTCCCGCACGGCGCCCCTCTCCCCTATTAAAGTTTCGGCAGTTCCGACTCCCTCGCTCCGCGGCCCTCGACACCGGGCAGCGCCCCGGGCAGCTCCCCGGGCGGCCGCCAGCACAGGCCGCCAGCACAGGCCGCCCGGGTGC